GTACATATTTTTCAAAGCTCTTTTTCCTTCAAAGGCAATAAGCTGTTCCACCAAGTGGTACAGCTGCAAATAATGTGTGCTTCCAAAAGACAGAAAGGTATGAAGTAGAAATAAATTGTGGTCTCAGACTTCTGGGGGGACTTGGATACAGATAGCAGTAATTTTAATGTTATGTTTGCAGTTATGAAAATATCTTTGAAAGATGTGGTCATCAATAGCCTGTAACTCTGATGTGTTTTTAAATAGGCTAATTATTCTTTCTAAATGTTCCTTCAGAACCAATAGAAAATTGGACATTATCAGACAGAGATGATTACTTTGACAGAGTGATTTTTTTTTGGCACTGGACATCAAGTATTCAAGGGCAAATAGTCAAGCCAAGGATACTATGTAAGAACTGCTGTCCACCAAGCAAACTCTTGAGCTGTAGTTACCAATCACATGCGTGATTCTAACAAGGGGGATCAAAGAGTCGGTAGTGAGAAGGACAACTCAAGTACAGCCTAGCGGAGCGATATAAAAAAAATGTCAGTGGTGACTCCCACTAATTTAGGCCTGCTGGAGCTGTGAGCATATTGCTGACACCAGCAATTTTTAAATGGATCAGCAATGAACAACCATATCCATGAGTGGATGCTGCAAATGAGTTAAGAGGTCCCCTGCCATTTGTTATTGCTAACATTACTAGATGTGTTTTCTGGACTGCTTGCTCCTGGTGGGTCACGATAAGCAATGTCATTTGCTTTCTGGGAAAGGTTTCTCTTCAGGAGCTGCTGTTAAAGCAGCTCATCAAAGGTAGAATGCTAACTGCTGTCTTTCTCTCCTTGTTTTGTTTATGGCAGTGTCTGGAGGTCGCAGCCGCTTACACCTCATTGACCTAGGTAGCTGTGTGAAAGCACTGAGCAAAAATCGGGACGGAAGCTCTGGACTCTGCCTCTCATTGTCAGCACTGGGCAATGTCATCCTGGCTCTTGTCAATGGCAGCAAGCATATCCCATACAAGTAAGTACTGTTCTATGTTGACATAGTAGGTAGTCATAAATAGCTTGTGGGTGTTCACTTTGTTGTTTTGTGTGACTGAATAGTTATACTTAGTAAGGTCCCCTCTACATGTTACAGCTAGCTACTGGTTAGCTGCACGATTAA